GGCCCCTCTCCATCTCTAGGTTGTCACCAGAGATGCTACTTCCTCTGCTCTTATGTCACCACCTCTTTCCCCTGGGGCAGGATCCCTTTCCCTCTCTGGACCCTGCTCAGTCCAATAGCCTGACTGACACACCAGGGTTCTGTCGGCTCTCCCACCAGGCACCTCCTGCCCAGTGGCCTCTTCACTTCCAGCGCAGAGTGGCTGGGTCTGTCTGCCTCTCTAAACTCATCATCAAGTGCAGCTGGCAGGACGGAGAGCAGCCGCGGACAAGAGCACATTGCCCATGGCTCCTGCTCACTCTAGGCCTCCTCCAATGAGCCTGCCTTGTGCAGAAGCACACCTAGGTTCAGGCAGACAGAGCTACCCTTGCCCCGAATTTGGTCTTGAGGAGAATGTTCCCAAAATGTTCCCTTCAAGTTGATCCCACGTCTTTTTACTGAGTTCATCCACAGAGTTCCAGGTCAGCCAAGTCTCTAGAGCTCACCAGCAAATCTTTTGTCTGATGGTGCATCTAGAAACCAAGTTCTGTAACTGCACACACAGAATGGTGGGGTTAAATGAGGCCACTCATGTTATCAGAAGAAAATGCATTCAGAAATGTTAGTGACCTGCACTCACCAGTTTGCTGTGTCTGGGAGATGTCCCCCAGGGCACTATGCTAAAAGCATGGTCCCAGCATAGCGCTCACCCTTCCCCAGGTATTTGCTGTCGGGGTGCGAAGCTGACTCTCACGCAGCTCGCTCCACAGTAAACTCCCTCTGGCTGTGCTTTGACATACCTGCTCCATGCCTTTAATTCTAATACTGCCTTCTGAAGATTTTGGTTAAAAATGTAAATGTTATGAATAATACACAACCTGTGATGGGTGAGCCTCGGCATTACCTTACCAGCCTTTTATCAGACATGTAGGTTTAATACCCAAGAAGCTGAGAACTAGAGTGGTTTATCGGAGGAGAGAAGTATTGAAAACAAAGCTTTTTGTTTCAGATTTTCCCCTCGGGTGCACAGGGTGATGACTCTCTGGGGGGAGACACCTCCCACTCTCCACCCCTTCCGCCCCACCCCTGCAGAAGGAGCTTGCAAATATTGGTCCCTGGAGGCTGTCTTCACAGTCAGCCTTATCCCTACCTGCCTGGCTCTCCTCTCTCCTCCCCTTAGGGTACTAACCTGACCACTAAGGTCTCTGCAGAGCACAGGCAATGCTTTTGTCTTGTATCAGCTGATGCAAAGTTGAAATTATTCAAAGGGAAATCTTGCAATGTAATAGGAGAAAAACAAAATGAGAAATCAGAAATGGTCTTCTCCTAATATAGTTTTACCTCAGTATCCATGGGAGATTGGTTCTAGGACTCCTGCAGGTACCAAAATCTATAGATGTTCAGCTCCTTTATATAAAATGGCATAGTCCTGACATATAACATGCACACATTGTCTCTACACTTTAAATTATCTCTAGATTAGGTAGGATGTTTAATACAATGTAAATGCTATATAAATAGTTGTTACAATGTATTATTTAGGGAATAATTCCCAAAAAAGAGTATATATCTGTTCAGTACAAACATAGTGTGGGGCGGGGCTATTTGGGATCCAAGGTTGCATGAATCTGTGGATTCTGTGGATTTAGAGGTCTGACTGTTCAATACCTCTCCTTCTCCAGGTGGTAGTGGCCCTCTTTACTGGAATAATTTCCAGACGGCCTCAGTATTTGATATTTTTGCTCAATAAAAACTGTCAAATCTACAAATGTAATGTCATCCCCTCACATTGTTTATCATGATGATATAATTTACATGCACAAAATTGTCTCCCTCGAACAATATAAATCACACTGTAGACAAAAGTCCAACTTTCCTATATCATACATTTGCATTTGAACTACATGCTTTTATAAGCACACCTAATATATTGGTTAAAGTCTCCTATAAGCTGGGAACAGAGCCCCACTTGGGCCCCAAACTGGACAGCTCAGGATGTCCCTGCAAGTGCCCTTTTTGAATTTGTAGCTCAAGCTCCATAGAGAGAGCTACACTTCTGACTCCAGCCAAGCTATACGGCCAGGCCTTGGGCTACACCTCCCAGTCATGGGAGGGGCTACTCCCTCAGACAACCAACATTAATAATGAGGATCTTTCTTTGTCCTTCTGGAAGAATCTATGGCTCTCATCCCCCTCCCTTCTCAGACTTCTGTCTTATTCTTCTCTGTTACTAACCAACCGTTGTTAAGGGCTAAGTGAGATTTATATTTGGGACTAGTTTCTCTCCTGTGCTTTCCCATACAACTTTCCAGGGGGATGGATCTTAGGTGTTTAATGCAATAGCCACTAGCCACCCATATGCTCCTGAAAACTGAGTATTAATTCTATTTCCCTGTGATCAATTTAAAGAGCCAGCCACAGCAAGTGTGACCATATCAGATAGCAGAGCTCCAGTTAATGGCCACACGGCCTCATGGGAACCAGCAACATGCAGAAGCCCCATTCATGTCCATGGCTCATCATTCTCTCTAGGCTGCAAAAACATTAGGACTGGGACTTAACATCAAAGCCCTACTTCATCTAAGAGATATCTTATTCCATCATATTTGCAAAGCAAGTTTGTATATTTTTTCAGTACTAGGGATTGAACCCAGGGCTTCAGGTATATGAGGCAAGTGCTCTACTACTATAACTTGGAGATAGGACCTCATTAAGTTGCCCAGGCTGACTGCAAACTTGTGATCCTCCTCCCTCAACCTATTCTCTGGGATCGCAGGCGTGGAGGACCACATCAGGAAAACATATCTTTTTGGCTATTAACTTACAGAACAATCTGTTTCTCTCAAATTTAGATTATGGACTCTGCTTCCACCTGGGAAAGCTACTTATTGGAAAAGAGAAAATCTCCAATATTACAAGGAACCTTAATACCAAGAAAAAGGAATTTAAAGGAAAAAAATATTGAAAACACTGCTGAGAAGTGATAAAGGTGGTAGATGATTAAAGAAAGCCAGAGACTTGGCGTCTCAGGGAGCTAGCTTTGTGTTGTCTTAACTGGCTAGTTTTGATCTTAAATGTCTCCCAAAGGCCCCCGTGGGAAAGGCCTGCCTCAGGGTGGCCTCCTTGGGAAGCTGTGGAAACTGTGATAAGCGAGGCCTCATGGGAGGTCCTTCAACCCGTGCAAGGTACCCTTCCCCCTTCTCTGTTCTGCTGCCTGGATTGTCATTAGGTGAGCAGTTTTGCTCTGCCAAATACTTTCACCACACTGTGGCCATGTCACGTGTCTCTCTACAGATCCCAAAGCAACACAACCAACCACAATGGACTGGAGTCTCCATAATAAACTTTTCCTCTTTATAAGTTGATTACTCCAGGTATCTGAATACTAAACAGAACAGAAAGCATAACAATACTTACTTTATCAAGGTTCTCCAGAGAAACAGAACAATAGGAGGTAGAGAACGATAGAGAAAGAGACAGAGACAGACAGACAGACAGACAGACAGAAATAGAGGCAGAGAGACAGAGAGAAAGAGAGACAGAGACAAGGTATTGGCTCATGTGGTTATGGAGGCTGGCCATTCCACTGTCTGTAGGATGGACCATGTGTTAGCAACTCTCACTTGTTAGAATGGCTATTGCCTTGCTTACTTTTCCATCATTGCTGAGGCAAAATACCCGACACCCAAAGTTAAAGGAGGAAAGATTTATTTAGCTCATAGCTTGTGGAGGTTTCAGTCCATAATCAGCTGGCTCCAAGGCAGAGGGCCTTGGCAGAGGGGCAACACAGAAGAGACCCATGTTATGGTGGGCAGAAGACAACAAAAGCAAGCAAGGAAGGGCAGAGTACAAGTGTTTCTGTGTCCCTTATGTTGTATCCAGGCTACTGGGAGTAGGGCAGTGCCAAACCAATCAGTGGACTGATTTAGTGATCACACACCCTTAATCCCAGCATCACACACTGTAGATCCAGCCACCTCTCAAAAAGCCCCACCTATGACTGAATGAGGCTTTGGGAGGACGTCTAGATACAAACTATTATAGCTATTATCAAACAAAGTGAAAGATAACAAGTGTCAAAGGGGATGTGAAGAGGGAACACGTGAGCACTGTTGAGGAAAACGTAAATTAGTGCAGCCATGACAGAAACAGTATGGAGGTTCCTCAAAAAATTAAAAACAGAATCCATGTGACCTAGCAGTCAGCTTCTAGCTATATATGCAAAATAAATGAAATTCATTGTCAAAGAGATATCTACAATCTTTGTGTTCACTACACATTGTTCATAACAGCCAAGATATGGACTAAACCTATGTGTCCACCCACAGCTGCAGACAATGTGTACATAGCACATAGTGTTTAAAAATAAGGAAATCCTGTCCTCTGGGGAAACATGGATGAACTTGGAGAATATTACACTAAGTAAGATAAGCCAGGCACAAAAGACAAAGACTGCATGTTCTCACTTACATGTGAAATCTAAGACATCAGACTCACAGTGAGAGTAGAACAGTGGTTACCAGGGCCTGAGCAGATCCTGCTGTGTCTTCTCCCTCTACCTACCCTCCTCCAGGTCACACTCTCCATCAGTCCTATTTACTGCTTCCAGGACTTGTTCAGCTCACTGCTGATGCTTTGTCTTGTCTTTTTGTTTTTGTTTTGTTTTGTTCTTTTGTTTTAGACAGGGTTTCCCTATGTAGTTCAGGGTGACCTTGAACTCACTATGATCCTTCTGTTGTGGGCTGGGATTAAGGGTATGGGCTACTATGCCCAGTTTCTTCTTGTTTTTGTTTGTTTTTTAAAATTTTGTTTGTTTGTTAAAATGTCATTTTTACTAACCAAATAAAAAGCATAGATTTACCTTTTACATGATGTCTTGACAAATGCATACACTGTAGAATGATTAAATCCAGCTAATTAACATGTGCCTTACCTCATATACTTTGTGGTGGAAGCATTTAAAGTCTACTCTCCTAGCAGTTTTCAAGAACACACTGTGAAGTGGGACACAGAGGCACATACCTGTAATCCCAGTACTTGAGAAGGCTGAGGCTGGAGGAATGCAAATTTGAGGCTATCCTAGGTAACTTCATGAGATCCTATCTCAAAATAAAAAGTAAAAAAGAGCAGTTCAGTGGTGGAACACCCCTATTCAACTCAACAACCACAACAAAGAGTACAATTCATTGTTATTCAACTTAACATGTGAGAATTACCTAGTTGTACAATAAATATCTTGAACTTATTCTCCTGACTAACTGAAATTTTTTATTCTTTGACCAACATCTCCTCGACAGTGGAGGAGTGAGACAAAGGCGGGGATAGCTCCTCAAGTGGACAAAGACCTTGGCCCGACAGGAACGTTGTGCTGGTGGTGGGAGAGCAGTGGGAGTGGGAATGATTGTTATGGTTGGACTACAAATGTCTTCCAGAAGGCTCATGTGTTCCATTTTAATGTGTGTGCTGCCAAAGCAGTATGACTCGTGTGTTCAGACATGGACCCCAGGGGTTGAGGATTTAGCTCAGCAGCACAGCGCCTGCCTGGTAAGCACAAGGTTGTGAATTCGATTCCAGGTACCGGAAGAAAAAAAAAACAAAAACAGACATGGGCCCTTTCGGCAGGTGATTGGACCATGGGTGTTAACCTCATCAATGGGTTGATCCATGGATGAGTTCACAGCTGAATATGCTGTTGGGGAGGCCTGGCTGAGGAAATGGGTCACGGGTGTGTCCTGGAAGATGGAGCCTATCCTCAGCCCCTTCCCCTCCTCCTGGCTCTCTCCTACTCTGTCTGCTACTTGGTGGCTATGGTTTGAGCAACTTCCTCCACTACGCCTTTCCACCAGGATGTTTCTGCCTTGGAGCCCTGGACCATGGGCAGAAACTCCTGAAACTGTGAGGCAAAAATAAGTATTCCCTACTCTGAGTGGTTTTTGTCAGGTACTATATTTGGTCACCACAACAAAAAGCTAGTTAATATAGTGATGGTCTTAGTTTAAAGCATGTGAGATTTGCAGTGGTAGTGAGGCATTTAAAAGAACATGCCCAGCCAGGCATGGTGGTGCATACCTGTAATCCCAGCACTTGGGAGGCTGAGGCAGGAGAATAGCCACAAGTTCAAGGCCAGCATGGGGTCCATAGTGAGTTTAAGACCAACCTGAGCTACACAGCAAGATCCTGTCTCAAATAAATAGATAAATAAATAAACAAACAAACAAACATGCCTGGGAACAATGGAAAGCTCCAGCTGTTATGAACCATGATGGACCTGAGCTTTCACCCCACTATAAGTCAACACAGTAACTTGCCATAACCTTAGGGATGTTTGTAGAATCCCTCCTAGGTCAAAGATGGGGGGCTCCGGGGCTGGGGATTTAGCTCAGCGGCACAGTGCCTGCCTGGCAAGCTCGAGGTCATGAGTTTGATTCCCAGTACCAGAAAAAAAAAAGATTTAAAAAGATGAAGGGCTCCATTATTCACAGCAACCACAGTACCCAGAGCACCAGCGTTTTCCAAGCTCCAGCTTCCATAGAACAACATGAAAAGGACCAAGAAGGCTGTGATTCAGGAGAGGAACAACCTTAGGAATCTCAAACCCTTTAAAATAGACTGTAAGCCTGCCTGGCCTTGGCCCGGGGAGATGTTACTATATCAGACCACAACATATTTACCCTTCACTGAGGAAGGGATCCTGCACAAGTATTCTAGAAAAGATAGTCCAGAAAAGGGGAATCTATGGCCTTGCTCATGAGATAGGCAGACACCTGGTACCCAGGAGGACGAAACTCTAATAACACCAATCTGGACCTTTGCAAAGAGAGAAAGACTGGGAATTTAGATTTGGAAAGCTGGAGCATGATTTCTAAGCCTCAGAAATGACTAGTGTTCCTTGGAGTTTTTAATCAGCCAGGGTCTTGGCAGAAAAAAATGAGTTTGCCCCTACTGGCCCAAGTGAAGAAATTAGAATGAAGGGGTTATTCACAGTGGTCAAAACGGAGTGAAAAGAGGATGAGGGTGCAACACAAAGCAGGACATCCTCTTGTTGGTTATTAAAAGTTACAGACCCAGCATAGATGTGGCACCTTACATCATCTAAGCAACTTCACCCTTATAATTCAACTTATCACCTAATAATCCCTTTTAAATAATTTGGGTAAGTAGGGTTCAGGAATGTTAGCAACATATCCAGGGCAGCAGAGCTGTCCTCCTGCATTTGCATGCCATAGTGTTTCTACTACACCACAATAACTGTCTCAAGGAGAAAAGCACAGTGACTTACTTTGGAAAGCTTTCCAAAATTGAGGACACTTCCAAAAGCATCATCTTCTAATGGTGTTCACTGTTAGCCAGCTTTCTGTTACTATCACAAACACTTGAGATAATTAATTTATTAAAAGAAGGTTTAGTTTGTCTCATGGTTTTGGATGTTTCAGCCCACAGATAGTTGGCTGTGTTGCTTTGGGGCCTGTGGTAAAGCAGCACATATTGACAGGAGGAATAAAGGGCATGATGTAGAAGAGGAAGCAGCTGGGGCCCCACAGTCGCTGTGACATAAAATCTCCCACTAGACCCCCTATCCTAAAGGTCCCACAGCCTCCCAGGAGCATCTGAGCTACCACCAAGCCTTTAATAGGTGGACTCTGGTAGAGCATACCACAGCTAGAATGATCCTTTTAAATGTACATAGAGGACACCACTCGCCTCCTTTAACCCTCAAGCACTTGCCACCAGCCACCCAACACAATGAAAAGTCCTTCTGTGAGTCTAAGGCCCTCTATGATCTGACTTTGGAAGTAGCTTCCTTACTCCTAAGCCAGCTTCCTGTCCGCTTGCAACACATCAAGCACAGGTCCCATTTTGGGCCCCATTTCCACACTGGCTATTATTCATTTCATTTGGAATTCTCTTCCTCCAGGGCCCACATGGCATGCATCTTCACTTTGCTAAAATATAAAAAAATAAATTTCCCTAAGGAAGCCTTCAGTGGAAGTTGTTTTAAATGTAATCACACACACACACACACACACACACACATACACACTCACTCCAACCCCTCCCCCTTTCCCTCATGTCCCTTGTCACAGCTTATTTACCTGTTTATTGTCTGTCTTTGTACTGCTGTATAAACTCCTTGAGGGAGGAACCATGTTCTTTCCACTATCTCCCATACCTATGGCATATTAAGAGCACATAAAATTGTTGCTAAATGAATGAACAAGTGAGCACGTGATGAGTATGGAGGGGTGAGTAGTGCAGAGGTCTCGCACTGGCTATTCCAGCCTACCTTCTTTTCTTCTTTCCTTCCCTCCCACCACACACTGCAGCTGGGATCTTCCAATATTGACTCAAGTGTCTCCTTGCTGAGCAAGGCCTGCTAAACACCTCAGAGCCTTCCTGGGTGGAACAGATGCTGAATGTCAGGAGGTGGTTTGTCTCCAGGAACAAAGGCAGGAAGCGCTCTCTCCACTTCCAGCTCCAGATGTCAACGGTTCCCAAGACAGAGGAAGCCAGAGCTGCCTGGATGTCGTCTTTCCTTTCAGTGCTGAGACAGAGGCCTGCTCCATCCCAGTTCCCAGCTGGTCCTGGGGCTTCCTTCAGGGAAAGTCGCTTTCTTTCTGCCCACAGCCCCTTCTCCCCATTTGCCTTCCTCACTCACCCCATAGAAGCAAGAGGAGATGGGAGGAACCCAGAGGGCTGAGGCCTTTCTCCCAGTGGGTGTGGAGGCGTGAGCTCAAGGAAGCTTCTGCCTGTATTTCATGTTCAGAAGGCTGGACATGTTTGGAATATTAGGATGGGATCCCAGGAAGCTATTTTACAAGGGTGGCTTCCAAGGAGGAACTGCGGATAAAGAAGAAAGACTGACATCACATAGTAAGCGCTTCTGCACTCTGTGAGAGAATGGGTATGGAAAAGTAGCCCGTGTTGCAGTCGGGTTGGCTGATGGAGGGGCCACCTCTGAAAGCATCTTGAGAGAAGCTGAAAGCTCACTTTCCCACCTGGGACCACAGCTTGGGGCACAGGACCAGCCTCTGAGACAGACCAGGTCCTGTCCCTAACACCTCCTCTCAGACAGCTCTATAGGTCCCCTGATGTCAGTCCTGACACGGAACCGTAACAGGGTATGTGGTCAGGCTGCTCCCGATCTCTGCGAAGATACGATGACAGATCTGCCAAATCATCAGCCACCGATAGGGATCTGTCCCGGAGAGAAACCTCACTTCAAGTACAGATCTGCTGCGTGGCCAGCACCTGGAGAAGGAGCCACAGAAAACAGGACAGCAGCAGCAGTGGCACAAAGATCGAGGGAGCCAGCGATGGTGAAGTCGTGGTCCCTCCTGCACAACACAGAGCCCACTCCACCCAGGCAAGCAGAACAGAGGCATGGACACTGGGCTACAGGTGGGCAGCTAGGCAAGTCCCTCGGCTGTCTGCATAAAGACCCTGCAATGGTGGGAATATCACTAAGACATTGCAGGATTTGACAAACTTTGGGTGAAGAAAGTCCCAGAGGTCCAGACTTACACTGAGGAACCCCGGGGTTGAACATTAAAACACCCACTTCTAATTTCAGCCCTGCCAAGAACTCACTATGGACCTTGAGCAAGCCACCTGCCCCCACCCTACTTTCCATCTGTGAAGTGGGTTGATAACACCCTCAGGGACTGGGGCAAGGGGTGATTTTAGTTGTCACTGTGTATATAGGCAGAGCACAGACCTGACCCTCCCTGTCCCCACCTTGAGCCCTGATGGCCGTGACCCCTGCTGACCACACCCTCATGCCTGCGGGGCTGAGCTTTGCCCTGAGATGAGATGAAGACAGTACAGCCTCCTTGGCCAGGATGATGTTGCATGCTTGCCCCAGCTCTGTGCCTGCAGCTCTAGCTGCAGTTTCCACCATTAATACGTGTTCAGATGTGTTAACACACAGGAGGAGTTCGTTTCCAAACTCTTTCAAGCACACTGGCAGGAAGGGCGGCGGCCATGCAGGCAGCAGAGAGGGAGCTCAGGACACAACACTTGCCAGCCACTGGCCCTGGGGTGGAGGGGCCTGTCCACACTCCCAGAAAGTAGGACAGGGAGCCACTGGGTGCCTGGAGCCACAATCATGCCGGGCGAGGAGAGCAGGTGGCCACTGTCCCCCGTCCTAGCCTCCTGCCCAAATCCTTTGGCTGGTAACGCTGTCCATGCCCTGGACCACCCCTAGCCAGTGGATTCTTGGCCAGAGTCTTCCAGGCCACAGGTTTTCGGGGGTTTTTTCAGGTGTGCATACATTTGCTTGGTGCAGAGCCATGCTGAGGGCAGACTGCACAGGGAGTGAGGGTGCTGTCAGGAACACAGGTGAGGCCCCCAGTGGGCACTTGTCTGGCTCTGAAACCTGGAAATCACAAAGGGCTGCACTGTGTCTACAGGAAAAAGGCGGCACAACCACCTTGATCTGCTAGTGGAGGACCTGTTGTTGGCATCATGGGGACCAGCAAAAGTGACAACTCTTGCCTGCTTGGTCCAGGGACTGAGGGTCCCCTGGACACGGACCCCAATGCTAACCCTGGGGTAGTGCTAGAAGCACAAGACGAGTTGACTTCCATGCGCTCTCAAGCCTGTGCTCAGAGCAGGACAATGACCTTGTTATCCTAAAGCAGCTTCTCTCTCACATCCCTCCACCCTCCACAAGCCCTCCATCCCCACACCACTCCCCACCACCCCACTGGCAATGCCACATCACCTCAAGACAGAAGGCAGAAGGATAGAAAGACATGCTCGGGACAGGACCAGTCTTTCTTGAAGTAGAGCTGGGTGAAGGATGAAGGCAGAATCTGGAGTTGATGAGAAACCATGCAAATCCTTAGAGCTATTTTATTAATTAAATACCACCCACTTTGGGAATGAGGCTGGACCCAGCCTCCCAAATCCTACCCTTCCAGGCTCTGTGCATCCCTCTCTCCCTTGCCATACTTGCAAAGGCAGTGATATCCTGCTGGCAGCTTTGACAGAAACACATCTAATTTAGACACAGGAGCCAGGCAGACATTCCCTTCCTGAGCCTACCGTCCTGCATGCCTCAGGGGACAGATCTTTCCACAGTGGAGGTGTCCTTGACCTCT